ACATGTATTCCGTTACTCCCCAACACTGCTGACAGGTTGAGCAAATAACAGCACTGGCAATGAGATGCATGTGTACCTAGCTTAGGTAGCAACTTTGAGTGCCAGCTGCAGTATCCAGCAGTCTTCCACAGCAGTACAGTTGGTCTGATCCACCCTTTATTTTAACCAGTAGTAAGACAACTAGTTACAAGGAAATACAGCTATATAATGAGGTCGGGAGTCTGCGTTTCCATAACTGTAAAATCGGTCTTAGCTGTGTGGCATGGTAAAATGTGAGACGTGGAATTAGCACTATGGCCTGGCTCATAGCTGCAGATGGAATAACATGCTAGAGATTACACATGTAAGCAGATCAGCTTGAGTCCTAAGGTGATTAGATTGAGAATATCAAAAAATTATGCTCAAACGAAATCTGCATTGAATCATTGACAGCGATATTGACATGTGCACTCGGATAGACTGTAATTGGCATGAGTTCAGTGGGGGCAGTTGTAACACAGCTTAACTGTATTTCTGTTGGAGTATGTGCCAGTTGTCCTGTATGATCATCCCTCCTTATATTCTAGCCAGTAACGGAGCTAAAGAGGATTTTAAAAAATGGTATTAACCAAATGCACCATGTCAGGCACACTGATGTTCAATTCTTAAAAAAACAAAAATCACACTTTTTTAAAGAGTTTATCTTGCTCAGATGACTCAGCTGTGTTAAAATATTAATTTATCAACACTTATTTAATTTAATAAATCATTGCTACTGCAGAAACTGTCAAATATGCATCTCACTTTTTAACTGAAAACATTAATACTTTTAAATGTTCATGCATTTATAGCACTCTTATGAGTGTGTGAGCGTGTTATCTTTCTTGGTATGTCTACCAAATAAGATTTAGAAACTATGACAGCAATTACAGCTTCTCTGTTTTTAAGTCTACCTGTGAACAGCTATATTCAAGTCTCAACAGCAAGTATACGTGCTCTGTAAGGTTAGGCCTGGGCTTTGGGTGGGCCCCTCATTGACAATCAGACTTTTCTTCAAGCCAAACCTGGTTTTCGTTTGCCCTGAAGGGAGGATTTATGGTGTGCTTCTCAAATGTTTATCCTCCTGGGAGGACTTCTGAAGCTCTGTTAGAGCCATCATTCAGGGCAAGTTTGGATACACAGTTTGATCAGACATCCAAGAAGTTTGGTGCCTTCAAATGTCTTTGACAGTTATCGGGGTCACTGTTCTCCTAGGAACACTTTTATACACAAGCCTTGTCCCAATTTGTCCAAGTTCATTTGCTGACTTCTACAGTAAGTTCTGTGGACTTCATTAATTGGGTTTTGAGACTCTAAATGTGTTTGCTAATTAGACATTTCTAGTTTTAACATTTAGATGTTTTTTTTTTGTGAATGTATTCATCTCATAATGATAAGGTATTAGGAGATCTGGGAGAAAACTTCCTATTGTCAAGCTGCTCCCAGTCTGCTTCAAGTCTGCAAAAAGTAAAGAGGTCTGCATTATGAGATAAAACAGAGGTTTAGAGATCAGAACGCCAGTAAATGTAAACAGATTTCTCTGAAAATGTTTGTGTTTAAATGCAGTATTACATTTTTTCCCAACTTAACTAACCCTAATCCGTAGTCTGACAGCTAACAATGCAGAATTCAGATGTGTACTGATCTTTGTACAGCAGGTCTTTAGTTGTTTCTTATCTCTTCCTGTCCTCAGTTCTTCTTTTTGCTGTGGTAAGCACTCAGTTGGGACTTAAAAAGCAAAAAATATAATTCATATTTGTCATTAGGGTCAAATGCATTAGGATTTTAAAGGATCCTTATAAAAGTTCAGAAGCCGTAAAACTGTAAAAGCTGAAGGAGACAGAAATATGGAAAAAGTGACCGAAAAGACGAGAACCTTTAGAAAATGTCCATGTCCTGCAACTCTCCCTTTATTGTACGACCCCAGCAGCAGAGGACTGTAGCTTACATGAGTAGGGTTAGCAGAAGTCTTCACTGTTTAGCCACTCATCGCCTGCTTTAATTGTAGACCTTTCTAGATAACACACACTGCAAAAAATTACTGAAACCTCCATTAAACAGTTATTTTGCCGTCTGCCCGCTTTTATCTGCAGTAATGGATTTCTAACTGTAAAAATATTATGCTTTAAAAACTGTATGTTTATATCTCTGAATTCAGTTAACTGTGTAATGACAAAATGTCAGCTTTGTTGCAGTTTATTTATTTATTTGTAAAACTTAAAGAAGATTAACCAAATAAATACAAAATACCCTGTTTAGGATCATTCCAAAGCATCTCCATGCTAGTGTCCCAGTGCTTTGGAAACCCTTCCCAGACTGATAGATGTCAACGACTTTGTTTCTCATTTGTTCTTGAGTTTCTTTAGAGCCTATTTCACTTTGTATTTAAGTGATTTGACAGATCTGTCAGTAATCAGGGCTGTGTGTGGCTAGTAGGGGTGGG